GTCCGGGGAGACCAGATACAGTGAATGCAAGGTCCGGGGAGACCAGATATAGTGAATGCGGGGTCCGGGGAGACCAGATATAGTGAATGCAGGGTCCGGGGAGACCAGATATAGTGAATGCAGGGTCCAGGGAGACCAGATATAGTGGATGCAGGATCCGGGGAGACCAGATATAGTGAATGCAGGGTCCGGGGAGACCAGATATAGTGAATGCAGGGTCCAGGGAGACCAGATATAGTGAATGCAGGGTCCAGGGAGACCAGATATAGTGAATGCAGGGTCTGGGGAGACCAGATATAGTGAATGCGGGGTCCTGGGAGACCAGATATAGTGAATGCAGGGTCCTGGGAGACCAGATATAGTGAATGCAAGGTCCGGGGAGACCAGATATAGTGGATGCAGGATTCGGGGAGACCAGATATAGTGAATGCAGGGTCTGGGGAGACCAGATATAGTGAATGCAGGGTCCGGGAGACCAGATATAGTGAATGCAGGGTCCTGGGAGACCAGATATAGTGAATGCAAGGTCCGGGGAGACCAGATATAGTGAATGCAGGGTCCTGGGAGACCAGATATAGTGAACGCAGGGTCCGGGGAGACCAGATATAGTGAATGCAGGGTCCTGGGAGACCAGATATAGTGAACGCAGGGTCCGGGGAGACCAGATATAGTGAATGCAGGGTCCGGGTAGAGCAGATATAGTGAATGTAGGGTCCTGGGTTTAGTGACACTTCAAAGGCATTTACAGGCTACCACTTTAGATTTACAGAGGAGGTCTGGTGCAAGAATTACTGCCCGTGGTCTGATGTTAGCGGTGATACCTCACATGTGTGGGGCGACCGCTGTTTGCGTGTGTGACTGACGATTGCGTTCACCTTTTGCGCACAAACACAGGGGCACTTTAATTTTTTTTTTTATTATTTAGAATTTTTTTTTTTTTTTAATTTTCACACTCTTGCTTTAAAAAAAAATGTTTTGATCACTTTTATTGCTGTCACAAGGAATGTAAACATCCTGTGGTACAGCAATAGGCCTGTGACAGGAATTCTGTATGGAGAGATCTGGGGTCAGTAAGACCCTAAATCCCTCCTCTGCCCTTGAAAGCATTAAATCACACCAAGATCAATGTGATCAAATGCTTTTCTCTTTTAAAAATGGATCCGTGAACCGGAAGTGATGTCAGGTCATGGCTTCCTGGTCACGAGTGATTGTTTATAGCAGCGTTCCTCCACACCCTCTCTATTAAACTATTACCTTCTCTGCAGTGGTGTCCCAAGGCAGGTGCAGGTGGTGAGGTACGCACCGGGTGACACCAACAGCATGGGGTGACACCAGACCCGTTCCACAAAAAGGTAAGTTGTAAAGCAAGCCGACGATCCACGTAGGATGGATCCGATCCATCCTGCAGGGATCGTTGGCTTTCTTTACAACTTACATTTTCTTAGAGCGGGTTCGGTGTCACCCCATATAGCTTGCATGCAACCTACATGGGGTGACACCGGACCCGCTCCAAGAAAAGGTAAGTTGTATAGAAAGCCGACGATCCCTGCTGGATGGATAGGATCTGTGGATTGAGCATAATGGATCGGAGTCTGGTCCATTATGCTCAATCTGTAGATCTGATCCATTCTGCGGGGATCGACGGAGGGGGTGTCACCAAGTGTTACTGCACTGGGTGACACCATCCTTAGGGACGCCTCTGCTTCTCTGTGTATGCAACAAACATGAACGCATAACCTCTCATATGGGAACCTAGTACAATATTATGTGTATCACACAAATATGCAAATCTTTACATGTGTAAATAAAAAAAATATTAAACAAAAAATATACCACATTGAACAAAAATGATGTGCTATACTAATACAAAAAATCTTAAAAGCAAAAAATGTTTTCACCCAACAAATATCTATACATAATCAAAAAGAAAGTCCATGTGTGAAATAAAACAAAGAAAAAGATTTTTCATCCATATAGTGTGTCAGCACCTGTGGTAGTGAGCCCTTGTGGATACTCAACTTGGGGTTCTTTTAGGGCGTGGAGTCTAAGCCCCAGCCTGCTTCTTCACCAGAGCCTCTGATGGTGGGGATGGAGCTGCTGGGACCAGGTCACGGACCCCAGGTATGCCCAGCTGAGGATGAGAAGACCCCTCGCAGGAGCAGAGTACAATGGGAGGAGACAAACATAATTGCAATACACTAGCCGAGGTCAGGACAGGAAGAAAAGCACAGTCAGAGAACAAAGCTGGGGTTGGTACACAAGTAGTCAATGCAGGATATAGGCAATAGCAACACACAGGAGCTCAGACAACTAGGAAGTTGCTCAGGCAAAGTGGCCTAGACTGAGTATGTCTTATATAGACAGGCAAACAAGGAGGCGGGCCAGGAAGTGATGGAAGGGAAGGAAATAAAACCCAGAGAACAGCAGACGATGCCCATAGGTGAGCACAGACAAACACACATGTGAAAGGGATCAGGAACAGCACTGCAGCAAGGAGGTAAGAACACAAACAAGAAACTGCAGGCTAACTTGTGACATAGTGATTCTTCAATTCACGTGTAGAGACACCACCAGATGAATTTAATAAACTCACCAGAGGTCCAGGCTAATCAAATGATAAACCAGCTAGCTAGAAAGGAGGAAGTGAAGGGGTTAATGCAGTGGCCACATACAATGGCAGAATAGAGGTGAAGGGGTTATTTTCAGATGGGCAGGATAAGGGAGATGAGGGGTTAATTTATAGGTCACAAGAGACAGTGGGTGCGATTTACTAAAATTGGAGCACTCAGAATCTGGTGCAGCTGTCCATGGAAGCCAATCAGCTTCTAACTTCAGCTTGTTCAATCAAGCTTTGACAATAAAACCTGATAGTTGATTGGTTTCTGATTTTGCACCATGCAGCTTTAGTGAATAACCCCCCAGTGTTGGAGATAGTATGTGTTGGGAGCAGGAAAGGGTTAAAAATAAGATTCTTGTGTCACTTTTACAGAGTGAATAGACCAGTAGCTGCAGTCGCTGATCTATTCATTCTGTGCCTATTCACATATACTGATCTCTCTCCTTCTCCTATGGTATGGGAAGGGGAGGGACCAACCCTGTGAACAGTAGCGTGTCCAGGGGCAGACTGACAACTCATGGGGCCCCCGGGCAATAGGGGATCATGGGGCCCCTGTGTCCTTGCCCAAACTCAAAAAAGCCTATGAAAAAGGTACCAGGGGCATCTCATGGGGCCCCCTACTGACCCCGGCCCTCGGGCAGTGCCTGAGTTTCCAAATGGTCAGTCTCCCCCTGACCATGTCATAGATGTTATGACCAATTACAGCAATCACATGGTAACCAGCTGCTCAGATCGGTTGGGTTCAGTGTTTCTGTGTGATGAGCTGTCTAGGGACAGCTCAAAACATAGCAATCATCTACCAGATCAGCTACCTGATAACGGTCCCTAAACAGCACAGGGTAGATAAAAAGCCGATGATGTACTGTTGAAAAATGTACAATGGCATATAAATGGTTTAAGAAGAATTTCCAGATGAATGGTTTTATTATTTTTATTTCATGCTAAGACCTCATGCACTCTTTGACTTTTTTTTTGTTGCCTCTAGTAAGACCTCATCTGGAATATGCAGTTCAATTTTGGGCACCAATTCACAAAAAGAACATTGGGGAACTGGAGAAAGTACAGAGAAGGGCAACCAAACTGATAAGAGGCATGGAGGAGCTCAGCTCAGTCTAAGAATAAAGGGAAATGAACGCTTTGTTGTTATCAGGTATTTAATTAGTGTGCTGCCAGAAGTCTGAAACCATTTATTTATTTATTTATTTTACATAATTATTATATTATGATTTAATGAAGTTGTCATGATTCCCATTATTATCCAGTACAATGTATTCTACTTGTGCATAGCTTAAAACATTTATAATAATATTTGAAAAATGATATTAGCAGATCTGAATAGCTTCGCAAGCCAACGCATGACTGGTTAGATTGACTGCAAAGTTTGCAATCACATTTTTTCACATTTACATTATTGTTGATACCAAGCTCATCCAGTTCAATCTGTGTGGGTGTCTGAGTAAGTGTTCTTTTTAAAGAAATAAGCTGTCTTTGGCTCTTTTAATAATACTTTTTGAAATTTACTCTACTGGTGGCTCAATGCTTGCCCCTTGAGCCTAGCACAAATTTAAAAAAAATTTTTTTTTTTGCAAAAACTCTATACAAATGGCCTTTTGATACATACAAAGATGGGACAAGGGGTGGACAGGAGGGATGGCTGCCTTGGGAACTGTGGCATCATGTGAGGTGGGGAGTGCCTCGAGGGGGAATTTGGAGGACAGAAGAGAATGAGAATTGTTCTAGGATGGGAAATTTGAAGGGGTTTGAGCTAGGAGTGGTGATTTGGGGGGATTTGTGTTGTGAGGGGGGGATGGGGGAAGAGGATTTGTGCTAGAAGAGGTCATATGATGTGTGTGGCGGGGAGTGGATTTGTGCTAGAAGGGGATTTTTTTTGGGGGGGGATTCTGCTAGTAGGGATGATTGGGGGATATTACTACTAGGAGGGAATATTTGGTGCAGAGGATTGGTGCTAGGTGGGTAATTTTTCTTCTGGGGGAGGTTGGGGAGGGAGGGGATTTCAGCCAAGGGGGCAAAGATTTCTGCTGAGAGAGGGGATTTCAGCAGGGGGTAGATTTGTACCAGGAGGAGGGGGAATTTATTCTAGGTGTAAGCATGATATTTTTTTTTTTGGGGGGGGGATTTTTGCTGACACATTATTTTTACATCTTGGGGAGGGGGAGCAGTTTGGCATGTTCACCCTGGTCTCTAAATGACCTTGTCCTGCCACTGGATACATAGGATGGTTTTTACATTACTTTATCTTAACTCAAGAAAACCATTTCAGTACAAACAACCCTGATGAATGGGGCGCGGTAATTGCCCTGAATATGTGTTCTATATTCCTCTCTCAACAATAAATCCACCTCTGATCAGTACTGACCTACCAACTTTTTGTCCTTGAGATTTGGCCTTCTGGTTGTTTGCTATGGTGACGTTTTGTTTAATCTTCTCTCAGTTATCACTGATGACATATTTTAGTGCACTAATGTGTAAATTTGGCTATTTGGTTTCTGCCAACTACCTGATGGACCTTAAAGTGTTACTCAACCCAGGACCCTGCATTCACTATATTTGGTCTCTCTGGACCCTGCATTCACTATATCTGGTCTCCCAGGACCCTGCATTCACTATATTTGGTCTCTCTGGACCCTGCATTCACTATATCTGGTCTCTCTGGACCCTGCATTCACTACATCTGGTCTCCCAGGACCCTGCATTCACTATATCTGGTCTCCCCGGACCCTGCATTCACTATATCTGGTCTCCCCGGACCCTGCATTCACTATATCTGGTCTCCCCGGACCCTGCATTCACTATATCTGGTCTCCCTGGACCCTGCATTCACTATATCTGCTCTCCCTGGACCCTGCATTCACTATATCTGGTCTCCTCAGACCCTGTATTCACTATATTTTGTCTCTCTGGACCCTGCATTCACTATATCTGGTCTCCCGGACCCTGCATTCACTATATCTGGTCTCCCCGGACCCTGCATTCACTATATCCGGTCTCCCTGGACCCTGCATTCACTATATCCGGTCTCCCCGAACCCTACATTCACCATATCTGGTCTCCCTGGACCCTGCATTCACTATATCTGGGGTCTCCCCGGACCCTGCATCCATTATATCCGGTCTCCCCGGACCCTGCATTCATTATATCCAGTCTCCCAGGACCCTGCATTCACTATATCTGGTCTCCCCGGACCCTGCATTCACTATATCTGGTCTCCCACAGTACACAGAACATGGAAATGCAATTATTTTAGTAACTATAAACTGCTAAATACCTTTTCTCATCAGCAGTTGGAGCAGTCTTGTGACTTCTATCAGTACCCAGCCAAGCACTGGATACCACCTTTAGAAGGAGTTTCATTCTGCTCTTGGAGGATGCAGGACCCCTGACCTCTGTCTGGAAAGTGCTGATTGGCCCTGTGCTGATCACATGCACTCTCCAAAGGAAAAAAAAAACCTCTCTAGCAATACACACCAAACTGAGCATGTGCAGAGTGTCTCTACACAATATACCTTATCAGGAGATAAGAGTGGGGAACTGGAAGAAGGGGCGATCAGAGAAGTCAGGATCACACAGTGTTTTTACTCAATGCAGAGGATTAACCCCTTAGGTTCCACAGTGAGTATACCAAGCATGCTTTACTGCATATACAGACTGATTTTACTGTTGTGGGTTTAGTAACACTTTAATTGTTGGGAATGCAACAGCATGTACTATAATGTACTATATACAGTATTCTGTGGTAATATCACTTTACCAGTAGATGGCACTATACGCTAAAGGTTACTAGTTGTGTATGTGTAAAACTTGCTGCTTCTTTCTTCTTCTCTATCATCTCTTCAGGAAGTAATGTCTGCTGTTATACAGTCTGCTGCAATGTGCTCTGTATGTTTGTAACTTAAGCCACACAAGTAAAGTCATAGTTCTGCCTCATCACTACCAGTGTCTTCTATAACACATAACCAACATTAATTGCACCTAAATATAGTGGATGGACTGTCCAGTGAATACCATAAACCTCATAAACATATTTTAGCTTTGCAATTAACAATTGTCTACTGTATATCCATGCATCAACTCAGGAAACCTTGCCTAAAGAGATGCTACTAGATTTAATGGTGACAATACCTAAATCTAACAAAGATGCTTCTTCCTCTAGCAACCATAAACCACTATTCCAGTTAAACTCAGATGTAACCAGATCCCCTAACTGCCACTGAGTGGATCAGACAAGTCGGGTCTACAATGTCGCTGGAACAACATATCTATCAGCACAGAGGCTGCACTTTGAAAAGATATGGGTGCCATGGCATGACCTTGGCCATGGCCTGGTGTGTCTCCACTGAACTTGGTGATAGCTAGGATGGTGTCTCCTGGGGGTAGTGGTAGACCCACCTAATGTCTCCTCACTTGTCCTTGCAATATGGGTGCCATGGCTTGATGTTGTCCATGGCCTGGTCTGTCTCCACTGAACTTGGTGATAGCTAGGATGGTGTCTCCTGGGGTTAGTGGTAGACCCATCTAATGTCTCCTCACTTGTCCTTGCAATATGGGTGCAATGGCTTGACTTTGGCCATGGCCTGGTGTGTCTCCACTGAACTTGGTGATAGCTAGGATGGTGTCTCCTGGGGGTAGTGGTAGACCCATCTAATGTCTCCTCACTTGTCCCTGCAATATGGGTGCCATGGCTTGACTTTGGCCATGGCCTGGTCTGTCTCCACTGAACTTGGTGATAGCTAGGATGGTGTCTCCTGGGTGTAGTTGTAGACCCACCTAATGTCTCCTAACTAGTCCTTGAACCTTCCCCTGTAACTTTCACTACAGTATGTAGGTTGGAGTGGGTATAGGTATGTTACACATGTTTATATGACTACGTAACCATTATTACTATTACCTGAGTTACTGCTGTACCTCAAGTTAATTGTTGTTCTGGATTTCCATGACTTTTCAATCAAGTTCTTTCTTGGGATAAAAAAAATACAGATATAACAAATCTTCACCAAAACCTTAGCCTTTAAATTGCTTTACATACTCCTGTTGTTCATACTTCCAGACCAAGTCGGTTTCTTGCAGATGGAAGATCAATCCTCAGATGAAACTAGGAGACTGCTCGATTTAATTCAACAGGTGGAAATAAAAAAAGTGCCTTCTCTTCTCTTCTGTTTCTGGATGCAGAGAAGACATTGGACAGGGTGAACTGGTCTTATATACACTTTACAGTAGTTTTGAAGAAATTTGAGTTCCCAGGTACAGTACTCCAAATCATAATGTCTGTATTCACAACTTCCACCTCAGGCATATACTGATAGCATGCTCTCTCCAGTATTTTCTGTCTATCTAGGCAAGGCTGTCGGCTTTCGCCCCTTATGTTTATGTTAATAATGGAACCTTTAGCACAACTGATGAGATTCGATTCGATGATCACAGGAATAAAAGTCGGCATGATTGAGCATAAAATTGGTCTTTTCACGGTTGATGTGATATTAATGGTAACAAATCAATTGTCTTCTTTACCTGAGATCTAGAATATTTTAACGACCCTTAGCAATATCTCTTCTTTTAAAGTGAACACTTCCGAATCCCAAATATTAAGCCTAATGTACCTAAAATTATGTAATTGAACTCTCAATATTAACCACTTGCACTCCAGAAGATTTACTCCTTTTCTTGACCAGGCCAGTTTTTTGAGAGATACGGTACTGCATTACTTTAATAATTGTGCGGTCATGCAATGCTGCACCCAAATGAAATTTATGTCCTTTTTTCCCACAAATAGAGCTTTCTTTTGGTGGTATTCGATCACCTCTGCATTTTTTATTTTTTGCACTATAAACAAAAAAGACCTACAAATTAAAAAAAAACAACAACAATATTTTTGACTTTTTTCAATAAAACATATCCAATAAAAAAATTAAAAATACAAAATGTCTTCATAAATTTAGGCCAAAATGTATTCTGCTACATGTCTTTTGCTAAAAAAAATCCCAATAAGTGTATATTGGTTTATGTGAAAGTTATAGCATCTACAATTGGCAGTATATATACTGCAATTTTTAGTTTTGTATACTAGTAATGGTGGCGAACAAAGACTTACAGCGGGACTGCAGCAGGCATTCTGACACTGGAAGGGGCCTGACTTGGTGTCACTGACATCTCCAGTAACACTAATACAGTGATCAATGCTAATAAAAAGCACTGACACTGTACTAATGGCACTGGGCAGGAAGGGGTTAACATGTGGGGCAATCAAAGGGTTAACAGTGTGCTGTGTGTTTTGCATTGTGTGCTGTTTGTGTTTTACTTGGGAGACATTCTGCTTTGTATTTCTCTCTCTAAATTTTTTTTTATACCAGTAATTGTGGCGATCAGCGACTTATAGCATGCAGCGGGCATTCTGACACTAGGTGGGAACTGACTAATTGCCACTGACATCCCCAGTGACACTAATACAGTGATCAGTGCTAATAAAAAGCACTCACCCTGTACTAATGACACTGGTCAGGAAGGGGTTAACATCTGGGGTGATCAAAGGGTTGACGGTGTGCTGTGTGTGTTTTACTACTAGGGAGGCATGCTGTGCAGAGAGATGCAAAGCAGCATGTCCATGCTGACAGGAGAGAGATTTGTGTTGTTTACACACACCAGAATTGCTGAACAGGACTCGGTGATTGACATATTCAGCAGCCAATAGCAGAATGGGTAGGGCGGCACGTGAGCGCGCATTCACGCCCTGTACCCAGGAATGCACAATTACGTGTTTCTACGTGATTTTATGCAGCAGAGCCGCCCTGTAGCAGGATATCTGCTATGGGGTTGCTCTTTTCATTATTATCAGGAAAATAAAGCAATAAAATACTTAGACAGCTACTTATCCCCCCAAGATATCCCAAATATTCTTATAGCTAAAAAAAATATATCCCTAGATGATCTCCCACAAAATATATCCCTTCCCTTCAGGGACTATCTGCAATATTGGATATTCTTATCTTTGGAGTTGCTCCGCTTCTCCTCCCCTCCCCTCCCCTTAAGTTACCTCTGGTCATTCCTTCTTTTACTCACCTTCTTACCCCTTCCTTCTCTTTTTCTTTCTTCCCCTCTCTTCCTTTCTTCCCCCTCCCCCCTTCTTCTTGTCCCCTATGCTTTCTATGCTTCCTATGCTACCTAGCCCCGCCTTCCTCCTTTCCCCTTCTTCAAGCCAGGTATGCTCCAGTCTCCCAGTAGGGAGCAGTAGGGAACAGTCTCCTTCCTTTAGTGTTAATCTAGAAGTCTGTCTTTCTTCAAATATTTTTTTGGCCCTGGATCTTCTCCTTTTTATTTATGTATGGTACCCATGATTTGTATTATCACCACTAGCATGTCTCCTGGGATGTTTCTGTTAATATTTGTAGCTAGCAATTTGTTACTACTGGACACAATTTGTACACTGCTTGGAATTATACCTTTATTTAATAAATTCTATAATTGTCAAACATATAAGAGATATGAACCTCCCAAAACTATACCACTGTTATCAAGCTTCCCTCTTAGATCAAGCTAGACATTGGTGGTCATCTGCGAATGACAAACTGTGGAGGGTTAAAAACAATTATTTATCACAAAACAGTCTGAAGACATTACTATTGGCAAGTAAGATGGGAAAATAAACTTTTCATTACTATTTCCTAGTCACCAAGCCACGCTAACGTTTTGGGTCAAACTGGAATTGAATCCACCATCTAAGAAATCCCTTTAAACCATACCTTCTCCACTACAATGTCTTCATTTTTATATCTCGAGCTTATCAGCAAGCAATTGGATGACCTTAGGCATCATGACAATATATGACCTATATATAGGCACCAAAGTTAATGCCTTTCTGATCTCCCAGAAGAATACATGTCCCCATCCAACATTTTTACAAATGTAGTAGGGTCCTCTATTTTTGAAAAGAGGTCCTTGTAATCCACTATCCATTATGGATACAGAAATCCATCAGTTTTGAAATAGCCCCATACTAATTACTAAAGCAATTTCTCTATTCTTTTAACACACTCAAATGTATTTGAGTGGCTCAAATACATTTATAAAGACTCTTTACATGGCAAAATGGGAAATTGAATTAGGGAACGTTTATTCATTTAGTCAGTGGCTCTTTTAAATAGTCACATTTTCTTCATATTGGGAACTACAGTTGCAAGAAAAAGTATGTGAACCCCTTGGGATTACGTGGAGTTTTGCATGAATTGGGCATAAAATGTGCTCTGAACGTATTCTGTGCTGTTGCAGTCATTGTTTTGTTGAATTACTTGTCTGCTTTGGGTCATTGTG